TTGGAAGGTGTTTGAAGTGGGTGACCAGTTGAAATGTAGATAGCAAAACCGCTATATACGTTGCTGAGTGACGCGAAATTCATGTGGACGGAAGAGGCACAGCAAACATTTGAGGGAACGTTTAAATCGCTAGGTTTTTTCACCTCTCCATGAGTATATGTGCCACAATCGGGGATATTAGTGACCCAATAAAAACTCTCGGTTTGTTTGTATGTTTTCTCTTGGAATTTAAATACTGTGGAAGTCGGGCAAAGCTGCATCCCAGTATTTTTTTCTGTAGTGGCACTTTCGTCCTAATTTCAAGTTCTTGGTTAAAAATGAGTTCGTTTCTGACTTCTTATATAGCCATGTTTATTGGTATACGTGTATATAAACTGACAATGTCAAAACTAACAATTTTTTCTTCATTATCTAATTTTAAATTATCTTATCTATGTTTTAGTTCATAAGAATTTGTTAGTCTAGGTTTTGAGTGGCTTTTTAAGAGGATTTAATTCCCCAGCTAAACATTCAGGCGAATTTCTAAAACCAACCCGAGGTCTAATAGGGTATCCTGACTCATGAACTTTAAAAGTATCATATATCCTACTGGGGTTATTAGTTTTCGGCATTAAATTAAACCATTTAGACTCATCTACAAACGGCTTCATTCGGTGTATAAGGTCCGCTGTGGATTTCTTTACCTTATTCAGGACGGTGTTATTGATTTCTTAGTTTCCTCATGTGGTCCTGTTTGTTTGTGACTATTCACCTTCTGTAATACTACTGTTGAATTTCATTTTTCTGATTTAGTGATTCCCAGGTCCTTGTTATTCCTAAAGTGTTTTGGAGTTTCTATTTTTGTTTTTTCAGGTTAGGCTTTTCTCTTTTTTGTCTTCCTAATGTCAGTGCACATTGTGCCCTTACTTCACCTGCTGTTGTCTTGTCTGTCCTACTTGGTGCTGTTTCTATTTTAAGGATTACATCCTCAGGTTTCAGATTGTCTACTACTACGTTGAAATTTAATCACTTTTCTAGTATGCTTATTTCTGTGGGACTTATCACATATGTTGATAGATTGATAGCCCACTTTGATTTATCGATTTTCGATGACTTAATACTGCTGGTGCCATTGATCCCAGATACAGATTTCTCTCCCAATAATTTATTAAAATTTTTGACTTGAGTATTTTTTCCCGACTTTTTGAATGCTGCGAAATTGTCACTGAACTATTTGATGTTTTATGCTGATTTGCATTATTATTATTCCCTTGGGTTCCTAGTGGAACATAGGGCTTCAACTACACGTCTCCACTTGCTTCTGTCTTCTGCTGTACTTTTCACCTGCGTCCATGTTAATCCATACTGTTTCAACTCTTCTTCATACGATCTCCTCCATGTCACCCTTGGACGTCCCACTCGCCGCTTCCCTTTCGGGTTCCACTCGAGCACTGGCCTGACGCGCGATGTCACCCAGCGGCCTCCTCAGCGAGTGTCCAATCCATCTCCACCTTCTTCTGCATATTTGTTAAGTGATTGGTTCTTGTTTTGTTCGTTCCCATCGTTTCTTGTTGGTGATTCTTTCTGGCCATCTGATCTTCAGTATAGAACAAAGACAGTTGTTGATAAAGGTCTGCAACAGGCTGTTGGAAATATTTTTTGTGACCCGCTGCCAAGTTTCTGATCCGTATAGAAGAACTGACTGACTTGACGTTTGTATTGAAAATCCGAATTTTGTTGTTGATGCTGATTTGCATAATTCATAGTAATCCTCTTTAGTGAAACACGTATTCTAATATGATACAACAGTTTTTACAATGACTTTTAATAGTCGTTTGTCATTTAACAACAATATTATTGTCCTACTTAAATGGACGAATTTCAATTCAATCACAACATTGTTTGAAGAAATTGTATACCTCACGTGCAAATACGAAGGTGTATTATTATTAATATTATTGTTATTCGTGTACCGACATAAATTTCAAAACACACAGTGACATTTTCTCCTTTCTTTCTTTCTTTTCTTCTTTCTTTCTGACATTGTGACAATAATCAATAAACTGCTATTGATCATTGAATTTTTCTTTCATTGTTTTACTTTCCATAGAAATCAACAGTATAGCATTGTATTTTAATCATCTGCATCATTTGTATTTCAAAGTTTTGTATTTATTTACCTACTACTATCAGATTACACTGTGATCTTCTTCACTTTAAAAAAAGTAATAATGTGACGTAGAAAAAAGAAGGGGGTGGGGATGGAGGTTCGTTTATGTAGGCCTATGTGTTAGGCTGTGGTGTTTATTCCTTAAATGGTTTACTTTTCCATTTCTGTACTGTTTGTCTTTGATAAGGTTACGCTAAATACACTGAATAAATATTAGTAAAATTAAGAGTGGAATTTATATTTTTCACCGAGTTTTTATATTTTACAATATACTAAAATGATGTTTACTATGTTTATATAGAGAAGCGATCTCCTCTTTCAAGAATATTTCAGACTCTCTGAATACTCATATGTTGCATTGAGACAGGTAGAATAACAAGATTTGTGAATGTATTTTTCCTCTAGATGTGTTTGTTTAATTCTATGAACGAAGGGATTCTACACGATTGCTGATTATTATGTTGTAGAGGGTGTGCCATGGTGTCCCAACGACAATTATACATATCCAACAGCTGTACGACAATGCTGCATGCCAAGTAATCCACAATGGGAAACTTACGGAATCCTTCGAAGTGAGGACAGGAGTAAGACAAGCTGGCTGCCTACTATCGCCAATGATTTTCCTGATTGCAGTAGATTGGATAATGCGACAGATAGCGGGCAATGAGGAAACGGGCATAAAATGGACTCACACAAAATACTTGGAGGATCTGGACTTCGCCGATGATATATGTCTGATTTCCCACAAACTGGAAGATATGCAAGCGAAAAGCAACGAGTTGGCAGAAGAAGCATCCAGAGAAGATAGGACTTCAGGTGAACATAGAGAAAACAGAGGCGATGAAGATTCCTGGACAAGAACAACAACAACAGACAACGATCAGCGTAAATGGAAGGAACCTGAAAGAAACAACCTCCTTTACCTACCTACATGGGAAGCATCGTTTCAACTACAGGCGGAACTGACGAGGATATCAAAGCAAGGATCGGAAAAGCAAGACAAGCTTTCACTACTCTCAAGTCTGTGTGGAGGTCAACAGCACTCAGCATGAATATAATAATGTCCGGATTTTCAACTCCAATGTGAAGCCAGTGCTACTTTACGGATCAGAGACTTGGTGTGTCATAAAGAGCATCTCAAACAAACTACAGACCTTCATTAACAGTTGTCTTCGCTTAATACTCAAGATCAGATGGCCAGAGTTGATTAGTAACAGAGATCTCTGGGAGCGAACCAACCAGGAACCGATTGTGAAACAAATAGGCAGGAAGAAATGGAGATGGATTGGCCATACTCTTAGGAAACCATCAAGTGACATCACTAGGCAAGCTCTCGAGTGGAACCCTAGAGGGAAGAGGCGAGTTGGTCGTCAGTGCAAGGGTGACTTGGAGGAGGTCATGTGAAGAGGAGGTGAAAACGTGTTGGCAGACTTGGAGCCAGGTGAAGACTCTAGCAGAGAACCGAACGCAATGGAGACGCACGGCTGAAGCCCTATGTTCCTGTAGGAATTAAAGGAAACAATAATAATGTAATGTTGTAGAGGGAAATCCGTGTTATTTTGAAATTTTGTACTATACTTCTGAAATCCGGAAATTTTTTTTCGTTAGGATGTTTGGTTTTGTAACGGTAGAAGACGAGAGACTTGGTAACGGGATGTTTATTTGGAATTTGATATTTCTATATAGCGAAATTATGTACACCTGATCTGAAAATTGTCATTTGCATAGGTATTTCGTGTTTTGGTACTTCGTATTATGTTTGTCTGTCTTCTTTTTGTGTCTCCTATGTTTTGCCGCAACACTGGCTCATTTCCTCTCTTTGACCTCAAATCTATCAAGTCTATGAATGTCTCTTCATATACTACTGACAAATCTCATCAATAGCACAATCCACACTTTAATTAATGCAAAGTGATGCTTGTTAGTAGTTAACAAGGCTTGCTAATGAATTCTGATGGAGTATATAAATCCTCTAGGATTTCAGATAACGTTTACCTGAAGTGCACCAGTGAGTACGAAAGTTAAGCCAATGGCTTTCTATTAATTACATCTAGCCATTTAATATCGTATTTTTCTTTCCTCTACAACATCTCTAGTCGTTTTTCTCTCCTCTAAATCTAAAGCTGAATATTGTTCACTTAAGAACATGAAGCAGTGGTTTAGCTGATGTACACAAAATTATTGTTCATTAGATTTTGAAATTAAGTCTTATAATCGCTACAGTTTATAATCACCTTCGTTTATTAGGAAATGTATAAGATGGTCGAAGACGATTGGAGGAAGCCTTCAACCTAGGTTTCGTGGTTGTTGGCATTTGTCAGCAAAGCATATCTTCAACCTTCCAGGAATTCATGTCCCTCTTGAGATTTGAACCTGTATCACCCACTGCTTCAGTCAGAGATGTACCACTAAGATATTCTGGCTCACGATTGACCTTCTGTAGGATTGTACTGAATAATTTGATGAGATAATAGGCAGTGACTAGTATTATGCGTCTAGTCCTTTGTTTGGTGCAGACTGAATTCTATCAGTCAGTAGTGAATAAGAAACATTTATCCTTTCCATAATCTCTAAAACGAACCATGAGTCTTTCTTATCTTTTCTTAGGTAGCAAGAATTTATTGACCACTAAGAACTGAAGCAAGTTCTTTATGTACATCACGTTTCTTGCTTGAATTATTTATGTGTTTTATCCTTTTGTCCAGTTTATTTTTCGTTTGACATGTGAATTATAAAGTTAATTTGATTCTTACAGATAGTTTCTGTTTCAATCAAACTGACTGAATAAACAATTACATATTCTTTATTTCAAATTCACAATTATCAATGGTCTTATGTATACTTTTTTTAGGTTTAAATGAGCAAGAACTGCCAAATCTTGTCAGTCTACTTTCAAATAATACTGTTACGCATATTAGTACAGCATATCCTAGAGCAGCTCATATGTTAGATAACATGCGTTCTGTATGGGCATACATGAATGATCCAAATCTTCCACGTGTTAATTCAGCTAGTGGACCAAAATGGCGTCGATTATCTCGCCTACATTTACATTCATTAGCTCATCAAATTATAATGGTTCGTCGTCATTCAAAGGGTGGTGCTGTTGCTCGTGAACAATTGAAAGCACATCAAAGTTCTGGTATTCTACCACCGCGTCGTTCTGACATTGGTTTAGCATGGCCGTTTACTAGAGCTGCTGTAGCTAAAGTGAGTGTTAAAGCTTATGTTTAAGTTCCTGTCATTTTAGCATACTGTATAAATGTACTTTTCACCTGTAATCTGATTATTCACGTTCATAAGGATTTCACTGCTTTTATAGAATAGACAATGCCAACGTGATCAGTTTCACCTAACGTACCACATCACAGCAAAAATGTAGTTTATTTCTTATTAGATGTTTAGTTAATTAGGCCTAAAGCTGTCACGGATTTTAACTGATGACTTACAAGCTGTGTTATATTTATTACTTCTTATCTTAATTATGATTCCAATAAAAAAAAACTTCTGTGTTTCTGGAAAACTTAATGATTACTTTTACATTTGAAAGATAATGTTAAGAACGAAGGTTCAAAATACATCACGCAGATAAAATCTTGCTGATTACTAATACCTACGCTCAGTGGTGTCATTAATTTCCGACGTGGTTGTGTTCAGTAATTGGTTGGATGGTTTAATTGTCTTTCAAATATTCAGTTCTGAAGATGTTGTCTAGAAAAACAACGAAATCTTGGCATTTTAATCCACCCAGCTTAGAGAACGCAAATGCATAAAAATCATTCACCTGAGCTAAAAACCTACTCTATTTAATCAATATTGTAATTTTTTATGGAATCTGTGACTCATAAGTTTATTTTGGTCGCTCAGTTTTCAAACAGATTCACAGACTCGAGTACCTCTTCACTTATTAATGTTTAGACATCCAGATATTACCTGTGACATAGAGCCTTGCACCGATGTGCAGCAGTTCAAGTCGCCACACTCCATGTAGCACACGAAGCAGGAGAAGAAAGTAAAAAGGAATGCAAAACAGAGACAGTAAACAGAGATATGAAACAAAAATAATAGTGATAATGAAGAACAATATAGTTTCATTGGAAATTATAAGCCACAAGGAGTGGACGCATCTGCGCCATTGAGAACAATTTTGAGCCATATCTTATGATTTTCTCCAGACATTGGTTTTTTCCGTCCCGAGGACCCCAACCAGGAAGTCTACACCCTCCTACGTGGCTAGCTTAAACTAACTGTTGTGGATTTCACTGACTGACTGATGAAACCATGTTTCGGTTTGACCACCTCTCGCTCTTTTCCAACCTGACCCTATATCAGCTAACATTGCCTGTCGAGGAAGGCGATGGCTTTCATATAAATGCAAATGGTTATTATTGTTATTAGTGATATAAATTTAGTGTATATAAGTTGACTGACCAATATGTTGTATGGATAATGCAAACCGAATAAATATAACTTCATTCTTCTGACATTGGTTTAAGAACTCAACTTCCAGTCAATGGACCCAGGGGTCGAATCTCACTCCGCCTAATTCAGCCTGAATAACTGGGTAGTACTATATAGTATCATTAGCTGTCACACAGTAAGTGCGGCTTATAGTCCAGTAATGGGTAGTTGATGTCCAAATAACTAACTATCTTCTGACTGTGACTGATTTGCACCGAAGTGCATCAGTTGCTACACTCCTTGTAGCACAAAAAAGTAAAGAAAAGAAAGGAAAAACAAATTCAAAAGAATCATAATATGCAGAAATGTTTAGGAGTAATAAAATGCTAATATGGAAAAAACACGACTGTTTAATGCACATGAGACATCACAAAGAGTAAATACAGCTGCGCCACTTAAAACGGTTTTGAGTCCTATCTCTAATAGTCTCCAGCCATTGGTTCTTACCATCCCGAGGACCTCAGTCGTATAGTCTACACGATCCCACATGGGAGAGATTTCATGAACTCATTCTAGTTCTTGGTTTGATCACTCCTTGTTGTTTTCCAATCCAACTTTATGTCAACTAACATTACTCGTCGAAGAAGGTGATGGTTTGGCATCTCAACAATCTCAGTCAATGTAGCTTCACAACCTCATTGACTGACTTCACCTCCTTAGGTAGCACTCTACGCTTAATCTCTATATTACTCAATATATTACACCACTTAACACGGGAAGTACAACGCAGTTAACTTTTGACATCATGAACAAAATAAATTGAATAAAGATAACGATTCATACATATGAAGACACCTGTGATTGCATTACTGTAAAAAAAATAAGGTAATTAACGTAAAAAGGACATTAATAGATAGTGTAAATTAGTAAGTATAACATATTGATTGAAGGGTTTTTAAACATTTCCCCATTGATATCTAAAATGGAAAGTTATAAGTGTAATCCTTCTTCAAAACCATGCAAAGATATCCTTTATAGAAAACTACCACTTTGAGGATTGGTATGTGGATCAATTTCCTATTTTTCAACTGATTGATAAACGAACATAGAAATTTACACAGGTTGTCACAGCTAGAGAATAACACACAGAATAATAGAACATCCAACTATCGTAATATTCTATGAGACAGTCTCAGTACAATCAATTCCTTGTTTTTGATAATGTTAACCTTTTCGATTTTATGAATTAAAAATATTTGCATTTATTTTTACGAGTTGATCACGGATTGATATCAGTTAGAGAACCATTGAAAACCAGGGAATACTGGACAGCTGTTTCATCCTAGTTTTGAAAATCATCGGCAGTAAGCACCCACTGAGGTTCGAACCCAGGACCTTCCTGTTACAACGCAAGCTCGTAGACTATTCAGCCACTGGGATCCGACTCAATGGCCCATGAATTCTAACTTCTACGAATTCGTGATTTAGCGCGACCACCAACAGCTGTGCAATACTCCCTGGTTTTCAATGGTTCTGTAACTGATATCAATCCGTGATCAACTCGTAAAAACAAGGCTAATCCTTACAAACCAACTATAGAAAATTAATCTGATGCTCGCTAGTGACTTGCTACAGGACGGAGTTTCCTGGAGTTCTAGTGAGAAGTCGTGACCAGTGAGGTCCATCCAGTCAAGTGTGAGGATGGATGTCTCACCGATGACATTGGTTAGTGGTCGCGCTAAATCATGAATTGGTTTTTTTATTGCTTTATGTTCCCAGTGGAACATAGGGCTTCAAACTAGAGCTTTGAAGTTTCTGTAGCACTGTTTATTTTTACAGAATGAGGTTGCTAGCCTCATGCCCATCCTTTTCTCTTTACCAGCTTTATTTCTGGCTTAGCGAGGTAAAGGAGTGCGTCGGCTGGGGATCGAACCCCGGACCATGTGCATAGTCGGTGATCGTCCTAACAGCTATGTCACCGACGCATCATGGATAGGTGGAAATTAGAATTCATTGGCTGGCCATTGAATTGGGTCCCAGTGGTTGAATGGTCTATGAGCTTACCTTGTAACCAGAAGGTCCTGGGTTCGAGCCCCAGTGAGTGCTTACTTCCGATGATTCTCAAAACTAGGATGAAACAGCTGTCCAGTACTCCCTAGTTTTCAGTGGTTCTCTAACTGATATAAATCGTGGTCAACTCGTAAAAACAAGACTAATCCGTACAAACCAACTATAGAAAATTGCATTTATGTTTATCCTTTAAAAGTCTACATGGAATCCAGTTATTTCCTCTGAATCCACATTTAATCATTTTTACTAAGCTACAACGTGTTACCAGATACTTAATTTCTACTACAAACATCAATGCCACACGGAAGCTTTAGAGGCAGTCATTTACCAAATAGAAAGAAAAGATACAAGTGAGAACAGTGACACTCGGAGACTTCACCCCCTGTTACACATACATATATGTATATCATATGCTCTGTGGTTTATAATCAAAAATTTCCTAGAAAAGTGACAAAGTACCTTTATCACAGTTCTTGAAATTACTTGTTAACTGATACTCAGCTTTCCTAGTTATACACTTTACTACATATACTCTTTGACACATTCTCTGCTATGCATGTATGTGCTTTAGCTGCATTCAAACTAGAGGACGAATGACTTACCCAATCAAAACTATGCAAGCAGTTGACAGTAGCTGACGTTTTGAAACTTTATTTAATCAATTATAATATTAAAACCCAGATTATTTTAAATTTTCAGCCTGTTTCAGTTTCTAATTTTTTGCGCTAAAACTATTACTTCCTATTTCTATTCTATTTTTAAGGCAAGTCTTATAGCCCATCGTCATACATGCGCTGCATCTTCCATTGATCCGGTAAAAACTCGTTTACTAATGGATGACTCGTTTGCTGTCACCGCTGATCCTATCACTTGGAAATCAGTCTTACAAAATGATAATCAAATTCCTCGTATCAAATTCAATCATTCTGAACCTGTTGCCTGTTGGACAGAACCTGAACCTCAGATACAATCTGAACATAATCAGTCAGATCTAGAGAATTCGATTAGAGAACTTCCATTCGATACACAAATTGAAATTTGTATCGCTCCTGTTCTTGTTTGCTCACAAGTTAAACAAACAGCTGGTGCTGGAGATAATATTTCAGCCGCAGCGCTTAGAACTCAAATTGTATCTCGTTCATAAATTTTTGTAGACTTTTATGTGTATATTCTAATCCATATGTTAGATAATTGCTAAGATTATTTTACTTTTCTTTTAAATTTTGACCACAAATAATATTTTGTTTAACCTGTTTGAACTTTTGAATTAAATTGTTTGTATAACTCTATAAGTGGAGTGTGATAAATTGCATTTTGTTCATTATCTTGACCTTTTTTTCACTTTTCACAACTATTTAACCTTTATTAAAATTGCAGAGAAATTAAATTTCGTATAAATCTTATTATCATTTACTTTAAATGTATAGTACGACCTAGAGAGAAAATTGGCTGAGAGTTTTTTATCTGCTAATTAACTGACGAATATAGTTACAATTTTCTAGATTTAATTTGTACGGATTTCATTTGTTTCAAGTTTTACCAAGGATGTGCGTCGGTAGTACAGCGGTAGAATGCTCGCCGACCACGCCTCATGTGTTCCGGGGTTCGATCCCCGGCCGACTCACTCCTTTACTTCGTTAAGCCAGTAATAAGACTGGTAAACAGGGAAGATTGGGCATAAGGCTAGCAACCCCATCCCGCAAAAGTAAACCACTGCTACCGGAACTTCAAGCCTCAAGCTTAAAGGCCTATGTTCCACTGGAAACGTAACGGGATAAATAATTAAAAAATTTACCGACGCTTGATATCGTTTAGAGAACCATTGAAAATCAGGGTGTAATGGACAGCTGCTTCGTCCCAGTTCAGGAATCATCAGTGGTACACACCCATTGGGATTCGAATCCAGGACCTTCTGGTTACAAGGTGAGCTCGTAGACCATTCAGCCTCCAGGATCCGACTCAATGTCCTATGAATTCTAACTTCTAACAATTCTTAATTTTGGCGCGACCACCATCCATTGTCATCGGCGAGTATTTTTCCCCACTCCTCACTGGATGGACCGCATTGGTCTTGGCTTATCACTAGAACTCCAGGCAACTTCGCCTTGTAGCTAGCCACTAGTGAGCATCAGATTAATTTTCGAAAGTTAGTTTGTAGTTAAATTTTTATTAGTTTTCTGTCTTGTAAATATTTCATGGTTCTACAGACAAATTGTAGAAGACAAGTATATATGTATGCTTTGTTATTTGGTGACTAAGTTATACTACTGGAGTGTGTACGTAGATTAATGTATTGAAGGTTACCTTTACGTGGCAAGTAGACAGTTTATCAACTCAGTATTTCATTTAAATAGTTCAGTATGAGTTGAATCCATGATTCATACATCTCAATCATACTTTACCAAACGAAGTTTATAAAGTTATTGTTGTTATTTATTTTTTTCATAAAGAAAGAAAGGCCAAATTTACAGGACAAAATCATAGCATTCTATTTCACAGGTTCTCATCAGCCGTAAATTACCTGAAATTACAATGGTTATAAAAAATCAAAAATAACATACTTCGGTGCTCGAATGGTAGTAGAAGAAATGTTATAAAACTAATTCATCCGAAATCTACGTTTTACAACTTTTAGTTTCATTTACCATCAATTTATATGCTTTCAAAGTAGAAAAGGTGGTGGCGATGGGCAATAGAAGATAGAAAACAGGAAAATCTAATAAGCAGTGTTCGCTTATAAGTTCACATGGTAATTCAAGAAGATTTGTGGTTCATAAGATTGAAATTCGCTCAGTGAGCTGAAAGTACTAATCAATGTAATCAAAATGCAGTTACCAAGGGAATGAGAGATTGACTACATTCTCTTTCTGTATGCATAAGTGTGTTTGGAAACGTTTGATTGTAATTGCTTCGGAAAATTGTAGTAAGTTTGTTGTCCTTTTATATTTAATATCTAGTAGGATTTGAAAACCACCATGAAATGACCAGTATCCACAATGTGTCTGGTTGTTGCACTTTGTGAATCTTTGCTTTCTTTTTAGACATAAGTTTCTTGGGATACGCTCTGAAAACCTAATAAAAGCCATTCTTCCTACTCTTCCAATGAACTTGTTCCGGCAGTTGGACGCAAATTTATAAACGCATTTGGAGGTGATATCAGCAGGGTACTCAACCAGTTTGGATTGTCCTATAGAGTATGCGGTGCTGTATAACGAACGTTACGAGCTTAGCTGTTCTATTGTCAATCTTTTGGGATACTGCTTCTCCTTTGAATGGGAAACAAGTGAACACTTTCTTCTTTTAAACAATTGCTTGCTTCTTTTCCTCGTCCTTTTCTTTGCTATACTTTGGGATAAATTCTTTTGGATACTCATTTTCCCTTCGGCGTTTCTGAATAAAGCCTAATTCTTCTTCTAGCTTGTTGGGTGAACGTGGCTTCCTGGCTCTGTTGTATACGTATGTATGTTGTATATGCTCATAGTTTGTAGGACAGAAGCTATGGATTGCAAATTTATTTCAAATGGGCTACAAAAAATCAGTTAACTATCGAGCTAGTTTGTGGCATGGTGACTGATCATTAGTAAGATGGATCTGTGTTATTAGATTTTTCTGTTTTCTCACCACTTTCTGTTTTCTCCACTTTCAAAGCAAATACAGTCATGGTAACATAAAGTAAAAACTGTGATACTTACATTTTAGATGTGTTAATTTTACAATATTTTCTCTACCACTGAAGTATTTTATTTTCAGTTTCTTATAGCCATTGCATTTTCAGGTAATCTGCAGCTGATGAGAACCCGTGAAGCAGAATGATATTAATTTATGCTGTAAATTTAATCTGTCTTTCTTAATCAAAACTTATCAAGTGTATGAGATTTTTGTAAATACGCCTCCCTGCGAAAACATTATTTATCGCATAATGGATGTAACGCACAGTCTAGTGAACGAACACTTCGATTGCTTTTGAGATAGCCTAATAATTATCGTTGCACAAATGAATGTGTGAGCGCCGCTTTACTATCAGTTGATAATTGTTCATATGACTGGTGCTTTCTACTAGTAATAAATAATCGAATGATTCATACCGGTTTATTTGAAGCATAACCACTAATATACGACGTGTCATTGAAAATATATCTTTGCTGAACTTTCTGTTTTTTCCTCTCTAATGTCTTAATGGATATCATCTATAATATAAAATAAAATATACTGAAATCAAAGTTTCTTAATTACTTTCATTAAAAAGAAAACACACTGAGAAAGTCATGATTACTTGATATTATAAAATTAGAATGGATTTAATATGACCTGAAAAATTTCTGTTCACCTTTTTGAAACCAAAAAAAGGTGACGTTAATCTAATTAACCAATATGGGGGCTGTAAATCATGTGAAAATTGATAAGTGTCTAAGTCGACGTTTTATGGTTGGTTGTATAAGAAAAATCATTGATAAGTGTTACTAATTGATTTTTAAATAAACCAAGAGTTTGTGAAGACTAAAATAGTATCATCGTTTATTTCATTGGCTTCTCATCAGCTACTTACAGACACTAAGATATTATGTACAGAAACAATATTAGTATACTTACTCAGAAAGTTAAAGTTTAAACAAAAAATCAATGTATGCATATAGTGGTAATAGTATTAATAATAATTGTCACTTCATTCCAAACGATAACAATCGTACAGAATGGAATTTTCAGCGTTATGTAATCAAATAAAAGAGAGACTAAAGATGTCTAGTTACTATGGCAAGGAAAGACTGATAACTGCTTCTTTCTGAACACATAAATCAGGTTTCAGACGTTCTATGGAGATTGCTTCAGCAAATTTTGGGAGAATTGAGCTCTTTTTATTGATAATTTTAAAGGATCTTGTGATGTCCACCTCATGACCCGTATAAAGGAGATGCCTGACAGTGGGACTGGTGAAAGCGTTTGTTCCCTTGAGACGTAGGGGCTTTTTGGTACATTTTCAGAAAGTTGGATATGTGCCCTTGTTTCTGTTCTCCCAATGTAACTGTTTCTGCAGGTAAATATAAATTTGTATACACAGTTAGAGTTAACGTGAGAAGAGTATCTGTGGACTCTTGATCACACCAAAGAGCATGTTGTCCAATGAACGGGAACCAACTTAGCTGCAGGATAGGCTTTGGCTAGCGACGTAACTAATCTTCTGTTGACTATTGCTGTAATATTTTGACCTTTAAAATCTAGTTGAATGAAGATAGGCTTTTTCCCCACTGTGATTTGTTTGGCATTTGAGCCTTCACATCTTCCATACTTGTTAATGAATCTCTGAGGGTAGCCGTTGTTTTTCAGCATCTTTTCGAGAATCAGAATTTCTTCCTGTAGTTTGTTTGTAGAGCACATTCTCCTGACTCTATAGAACAGAATTTTTTACCAGTGGACGTTTATGGTTATTATTAAAATGTAACTACTGCACAGACTGTTCTTCTTGCTTTATTCAGTTTCATATAAGGGAATAAATGTTATTAATTTTGGTTGGCTCCATTTCCGAAGAGTCATTCTGTCAAGTTTTAGTGAAGGAAGAACTTTGTTTTCTATTTTGGTGATAAACAGTATGCTTGATGAAAATTACTATATGCTTCACCTCTCTTATTTATTTTCAGACGGAAAGAAATAGTAATTGAAGGGATTTTTTGAAAGAATCTGTATTAGTTCATAACAATGAATAATCCTTTAAAATTACTATCCCACAGCATTCTTCATTCAAAACTGGATGCTGATCTTCTCTGTATAAGTTGACTTGTTAAACTGAAGGTAGCCGGTAAAGCATCCACTCCAGGATCTCGTGTCATATTCGGTCGCTCGTGCATGAACCCTAGCTAGTTAAGCAATAACCGTCTCTCTACGCTTCTAGTCGTATTCTGGACGAATACTTTGGTATTTTATTTTAGTGATAACATGAGTAAAGTGTGAAAAGGTGGGTGAACATGTGGAAAGTGAATATTTCATATTGTATTCTACCCACTTTCTGCTCGACTATTGTTGTCTGTTTCATCCACTTTCTCCATGTATATTCCGTGACTGGATAAAACTAGTAAATGTTTTAATTAACTGTATTCCTATCTGTGCATCGGTAGCACACAGGTTAGGACGCTCGCCAACCATGTACATGGTTCGGGGTTCGATCTCCGACCGACGCACACCTGATATCAATAGTCGGCCTGCTAAATTTGGGCTACCGATATCCCATGCTGAAAATCCCATACTTGCACCAAAAATACTGTGTGGAATCAAGCTATAATAAAATAAAATAAAATATAAACAGTCTTAACCGACCTTAACTACAGTAGTGAAGTTTCTCAGTTAATTATAATTATCCAGTATTTGGGCAGAAGTGGGTAACCACACCGAGAACAAACTGTGGATGCATTACTTGTATAGCATTCATGATGAACGATATGAGTGGTTGCTTTAGGTTCATTTTGAAGGTTCTTAGGTCCAGTTAATGTTGCTGACTGCCGTAGATTAACTCCACATTATTTGGATCCTCTAAATGCAAAATGGGAATAATTTCT